GCAACTTTGACTTCTTAAGTTGTAGGTGATCCAATACACGACATATTATTGACAAGTAACAATATATGTCAGGTTTACATGTGCAGAAAATAATAGTAACGAAGCTGACAAACAAAATAAATTTTTATATTCGGAATAGTACAAGAAAGGTTTTGGATTTTATTCTTTTTAAAACGAATATTTTTGTATATAATTAATATGCACTAGTAGAAAGTATCCCATTTTAATTGAGCGTACTACCGCACCAATTTACTTCTGAAAACATCACGTTTGGTACAAAAGTATCACATTTGCCATCCCTGTTCCAAACATATGTTCTTATTACAATATGAATAAATATAAGTATACATATTATGAGAACATTGTATGTATACATAAGTATACATACAATGTTCTCGTGTCTATTGCTTGCGAGATGGATTTTTTTTTTTATTATTTATGAAAGGAGAATTCCACTATGATTTCGAAAAGAAAAAAACAATATGAAAAATATGTCATTTTTATTTGTACTTAAAAAAAAACCAGCCACAATGTCTGTAATTTTCTTGAATTTTAATAACGAGAAATAAAAAACAAAAAAAATATTGAAATAAAAAATTTAATTAAAAAAAATCTTTGTAATTCACCTGATAAGCTTTTTTGTTAAATATTTTGAATAGATTGAATGAATGTTTTAATGTATGTTCGCATGTACATATATGTATGAATGTTTGTAATCTTGCACAAATGATAAATCGTACAGCTTGTGTGTGCATTGTAAGAATTAGTAAAATCATGGTTTTTCTGATGTTTATCTGTTAGAATTTAATTAAATAATTACTCCCACAATATTTTTTTCTTCTTTTATCAAAATATACAATAATTCTTTTATTTAAATTTGTTTGTCATATACATATGTATTAGTTAACATTGTGACATCGGATGAAATAGTACAACATAATGCTTGCTTTTTGTATTTACATATATGCACTTATTTTTTTGTTCAGTCCATTGATATAATATTGCGTGTCGTGTTATATCGTATGAGTCGAGTTTTTAAGGTTTTTTTTTTCTATATACGTAGGAATGTGTGTATTATGATATAAGAGTACATACATTCATTCGTATTTAACGTTTATGTAATAAATATTAAGTGCACATGAAAAATATTATCAAAAATTTCCTGAAAATCTTGAGTACAAAAATAATGTAATTTATTGAGCTATTCTTATTTAAATTTTGATTTTATTTCAATATGCAGTCATTACTTTAGTTTTATGTGAATTCGACGTCTTTATAAAATTCAGAGAACCTAGATATACATATTATGTATAACTTGAATATATTTAATTCATTTAATCTTGCATTTTCTTATTATAATTTCAAAAGAATTTTTATTTTTTTTTAATTTTCATCATTTTAATTTGCAATTGCGGCCAAGTATGAATTTATACTTAAATTTTTGATACTATTTTTTGAATTTTCCAATTTATTATTGTTTTTGGGACTTGAGAATTTTTGGAATTTATTGTCGTATTCTTTTGTTCGTACCATATAATTGCATCAATAATATAAATTGCAGAAATTTTCATACTTACTAACAATTTAATGCCTGTCCTTCATAGTTTTGCTTGGTAATTACACTTTAAAGCCGCATAAATAATTATTTCTACAATATATGTATACCTAAATATTGCAGATTTGTGGATTTGTACAACTAGGTGAACCGTACATCGCGACTACGTATATGCGGGTCATGTCCTATAGCACACGCTCGAGAGCCACCCTCTTGATGAACTCGAGCAACTTGTGAGGCACGGACGACTGCAATTCCGTCGCCGTGAAAGAATAGCTTCCCAGTATTTTCCTTCTCCTATGAGCTAGATCATTACACTCCCACAGAAGATGTACTTAGGTTTCTCCGTCCTCCCCATAGAATATGCAAGTGCCTCCACTTTCTAGGCTCATCCTACTGAGATGCCTGCTTAGCTTGCAGGGTCCCAACTTTACCGCGGTGTTACAAATTCTCCCCAAATTCTTATCCAAACCGGAAGACTTTTCCAGCACTCCGACTGCCATCTCTCTGATTCCTTTCTTAGATCCACGCAAGAAACCATATGTGATCCGATCTTACAAAAGGGCTCCGGCCCAAGGAGAGGCATGGTAGCCAAGAAGAGAAATGGCAGCGGATCACCTGCCTCATTTCCTTTACCTAAATATAATTTCTTGTTTAAGTAAATAAATTGTAAAAATAAATTTATTTTGATTCGTCAAAGTCTATCTAAATTTGAGTTTAACTACTATTTAAAAATTTATTTAAAACTCTTTCATGAAAACCACATTTTTTCAAATTACTTATTAAAGTTAAAGCACAAGAGAACCTAGAAAATTTAAACTTTAAAAAAACTTCACAAAGCAATTATGTTGTCTATTTGTTCAAATTATTAAAGAAAATCACAATAATTGTGTTCTTAAAATTAATAAAATCTTTTATTATTGCTTGTTTCATAGTAAAGGCAAAATAAAATTATAAAAATTGTCAAATAATCATAATAACACTTTGTTTTTAAACATTTTCATTTCAAATTATTGTGGTGTAAGATTTTTTGTCATCGTTTAAAAGTTAAATACAAAAACCAGAGTTAAGTAAGTATGTAAAAATTTTTTAAGGGGATCTCTGTTAAACAAGTACTTATAAGGTGTTATGTACAAAAAAAAAAGAAAACCACATACTTGTATTTAAAGATAGTAAGGTTCATTTTCTACAATAACAAGATCTCATATCATAATAAAGTTATAATGCAAAACTTGATTATAATTTTACAACTTTTCTTTACTAATTCCTTGTTCTTTAATGATGAACCCTTATTAAGTATGAAAAAAAAAATGTTAGAAAATAAATTCATTTAAAAAAGAAGAGAATTTTTTTTTAATAATAATTAAAAAAGGGTAAGAAGATACGATAAGGATTTTTTTTTCTTTAAAATAAAAAATTAAGAAAACCGGATTAGACAAAATATGGAAAAAATATTTTGTGTTTATTTAAAAACTTTACAGATTATTAAAATATTCATTTATAATACATGCACACCTACCTATATTGATATTAAAACCTACACACACACATTTATAATAATGCCTTTTTAATGTTTGGATATGGAATACTTATACTCAGTTAGTTGTGTAATTTCTGTGCCCCTAATCTAATGATGCTCAAACTTCTTAGTCGCAATATACTTTAACACTCTTTTATTTTTCAGATATTTGATAACATGTAAATCGATTTACTTATGGGTATAGAGTTATTAAATAAAATTTCGAATGATATGTAAATTTTTTGAATAAAAAACAAAGAGTTCGATTATTTTTACAAAGTTCAATAAAGGAAAAGTTCGATTATTTTTAAAATCCATAAAAGACATGATGAATGCGTATTTACTTAACACATTCAATTTTATTTATATAGTTTTATCGCATGTCGTTTTGGTGTCTGCACCAGCCTAAATATAGCGGATATCTAAATTTTCCTAGATATCTAAATTTAGAAGTTAGGAGTATATAAACACTTACATATAGCGGAATTTTCAATCAAAATTTCACCATTAAATAACGATTTTTTATTGCTTGTAAACGTAGAATATTTTTAATTTTCTTAAAATACGTGACATTTTAAGTATTAGATACAAAATGGCAAACATAACTTAGTCGTAACTCTACAACAAGCAGACTATCTGTTCGAATATAAATTTTATAAGCAAAATCCAAAAATAGTAATGGTATATATTAGTGAGGCATTATACTCCATCACTTGCCGCCAATAAACATGGTAGGTTGGCAGCCTTTTGAATTATTCAAAAATGTTGGCCAGTCAATTTATTTTACTAAAAGAGTGAAGTTTTCGTTTCTCTGTACGATTGTATAATACAGAATACAGTACTAAATAGTTTTGAAAAAAAATTTTTTTTTATTAGATTATTGAGTAGACTGATACTTAAGGTAGAAAAAAAATATTCTTTAAAAAATTTTTATCTTGAAAATAAGTAGGATACAGGTTGCACTTTTTCACAATTTCACAGAGGAGAATATAAAATGTAATGAATATTTTAGAGTATATAGGCATAGAAAAATACTTTAATACTTTAATTAAAAAAGATTTTAATTTGATTGAAATTTTCTTCAATTTATTTTATTTTTATATAGATATTGAAAAATTACTTGGTTCACCCGTTGCATTCAGGAACTTAGTTGTAAAGTATAATAGTTAATTACACGTGTGTGACAAAAATAATAATCTTTTGAATTAATTACTTTTTCTTCAAATTTAATTTGGGTATGGAAGAATGAATATCTAAATTGTTTTGGATTATGGAATCAATTTTCAATTTTACATTTACATAAATTCAATAAGTTCCCTATTACTGTTCTAATATCTCCCCATATTAGAGAATAAGTTATAATTAATTAAAAATAGTCATGGAATGAGCCTTCTGTTGGAATGTATAGTAGCATAGGCACATCGTATTTAAATTATCTAAGCGCAGTTGTATAAGAAAACTAACTATTAGATCATAATATATTCTGAAAATTAGTTGAATCAATTAAAATATTTTATTAAAACCTACAAAAACAATAGAAATAATGTGTACATACATAAATAATATATTTAATTTCATAGCTGCCACAAATGTTTCTATATATAAAATTAACACCACAGGTCGAAGTTTATTGATTAACACATTTGAAGAATAATATTGAGTAATTTAAAAAATTATAAAGCAATCAATAGTGCAAAATTTTTCCTCGACACAATAACAAAAATTGAAATAAATTTTCGTAATTTTCTGAATGTCTACTTGTATGTATAAAGAATGATTTGAAAACATTAAGCGGGTGTAAAGTATGACATAAAATCAATGTTATTGAATGAAACCTTTTAAGTTTTAGTAGAAAATTCTATTTTAAAGACGAAGAAAATAATTTTTTTTTTAAATAGTTACGAAATTTTCCTGTTATTTAATAAAAATTTATACAATTTCAAATACTAATAATTCAGTTTTCTTTACGAACACCATCGAATAAGGTTAGCTGAAGCAAAAAAAAAACATATAATGTATTGGAACAACTTTGTTCTAAATTTTAAATTTTAAAAAATTTCTTAAAATAATAGAAGTAAATGAATGATCTGCTCAAAAATGAGCATGACTAGAAAATTTTGAGTATTTATTGCGTATATATATATATATATATATATATATATATATATATACATATATGCATGTAGTTAAATATATGTATATATTAAAAATTTCTTTTCAAGGATAATTTTCTTTCAATATTGATGTGCATTGAATTTTTGTTTTATTTTAATTATTTTTGAAACTTAAGTCGAAGAACAATAGAACAAAAAATTGAGCTTCTCCAGTAAATGGTAGCGCAAAGATAATTTTTTTTTCTCTATAATAAAAGAATTACCAAGTGAATGATAACAAAAAAAAAATGTATAAATTTAAAACAAAAAAAAGGATCAATCTTTTTATTTTTTAAATAATAAAAATTGCTGATATTCTGACGATAATAATTATCCCAATGATAATGAATTGAAAATTTAATTAAAAATGACAAAAGCTAAAAAATCATCGCATAGCGGTAGCAACAGTAACAGTAAAAGTGTTGTCAGTAATAATAATAAACGTTTATCTAGTGGAGAAAAAAACACAAAAAAAGATTCTTCGAAGAATTTAAAGCATGAAGCAAGTGGCGATGAAATGAATTCTGGATTCGGAGATTATATTCGTTCATCGCAAGGTAATGAAAATTTAATTTTCATTTGGAAACTAAAAAAAAAGAATAATAATAAATGAATAAAATTTTCATTTGGAAAATGAAAAAAATTTAAGGTGATTGAAAAATAAATAAGACCGTAAATTTTCGAAATTGATTCATAAATTCGTTAAAAGTTTTCAGTACTCGAGAAAATATAACTAAAATTAAAAGTTTTGCAATTTTATTCAAATTTGTTCAAATTGATTGGTTTGTACTTGTAAATTCTATGTGGTTTACTATGTGTGCTTAACTGGTTCATATTCATACCCCAGGCGCCTTCGATTTTCAAATTTGCAGGAATTCAAAGGTAGTACCATAATAATTAATTAATTTTAACATACCATTTTTTCAAATACGAAAATCGTTTCACGAAAATCGAATTACGTAGTAAGGTACCAGTCATTTTAAAAGTCTAAGAAACCATGTTTAGAATTAAATAAGACTGTTATTTAAATCTATAGATTCAAAATCATGTATTACTTTAAATTTACATATGTTTTAGTTTATGTAGGACCGAACATTAGGTACTGGTGTCTAGTGAATTCAAAACTATGTATTCAATATAAAGTTTTCAGTGCATTCTGTTTCATGAGTTTACCACAGAAACATCAAAATTATAGTCAAAAAATTTAAATATTATAATTTTTTTTTTTCAATTTAAATATAAGTTTTGAATCTTATTCACTCCAAACAGATTTTTTCATCGACTTGGGCAGTTTTTACTCATAACCATAAAATTATTTTGTGTAGTGTCTGCTTTGAATTTCTAATGAAATTCTATAAATCGAAATATTCTTTTTTTTCTTCTTTTATATATGAAGCCATAAAATATTCATTGCAAAATAAAATCTATTACTTACGTATTGCATATTCGTGTATATAAATAAATTATTACATTATTATATTGTAGTATGTATGTAAATTCATATTTATTCTTAAAAGGTGCCCATCAAAATGCCCTAATGAATAGTTGAAATATCGGTTGTATAAGTTAATGTTGACACACTAAAAATCCAAAATTTTTTAAATCACTATCATAAAGTTCCTTTGTACTCTTTGAAAAAAAAAACAATTTTTCAATGAGTAACTCAACTTATTTCATCAAGGTCCAGTAGAACAAATTAATAAAATAAAAATATTTTTTAAATCACCTGAAATTTCATTAAACTAAATTAATCAAGTAGTTTACCCAAAAATATTTATATTCCGCATATTTCCTATAATTTCGAAAAAAAATTGAATAAAATTTAAAAAATTACTAACTTAAAATCGTCTTTGTTTTTGGTGGCAGGAGTTGGAATGATGAAACTTTTTGTGATGGCCAATTCACTTATGTTGATTGTTACAATGGCTTGGCCAAATATGAAACATGTATACAACATAATTTATGAATACTTTTTTGAAGAAGAATAAAAGAATAATAAAACCCTTTACCAAATGATTTTAACTTAATATTGAAATTTTAAATCTATATTTACCTGCATTTAATTAAAACAATAAAAGAGAAGCCAACAGAAAAATAATTTATTCTTGACACAAAATTCTTAAATTTTAATAGTGAAATAGCAAAAAAAAATTTATTCAAAATGAATTTGATGCTTGGACCATTAGCTCAAGGTGCTCTTTTGTTAAGCATTATTTATTGGTATTCAAAAACTATGATGGGTATGATTAATGAATATTATCGTGATGAATTGAAGAAAACTCTTTCTGATGTACCTGATACTTATCCTAATGAAATTACCGAAATTGTTGAAGAAAAAGAGGATGATGATGTAACATTAAAAACACCATATGTATCATCACCAACAACCGATGGAATTCCTGATATTCTTAAAGAAGCTGCTGCAAATAATGGTGACAATGGTATTTTAACAAGAGCTTTTAGTGATAATAATAATAAAGAAAAAACACAAGAATCATTCCAATTGAATCAAGACGATAATCTATTAAATGAAAGATTTTCAATTTTGTTGAGAGAACGAGAGGAAGAAAAACAAAAGGAAAAACAATATGAAAATCAACAAATTGAAGAGGATGAAAAGAAACAAGAATATAGAGATGAAGAAAAACAAAATAACGTTCAAAATGAAAATGAAAATCTTGACGGCAAAAAATTACAAACAAATTTCCCTTCAATTATTGATAATGACAAACATCAATTGTGTGAAAAATATTCTATAAGAAATGAACAAAAATTATTAGATTTTAATTTGGAAAATTTATGTTTCCCATCCGGAAAACAACTCAATAATTTTGAGGTTCAAGATAATGTTGGTAATATGAAAGAAAATGAATATATTAAAAAAACAAAATCATCTGAATTATCAAATTCTTCTTATTCTACAAAATCAAAAAATCCTTTAACATTACAAAATGAAAAGGAATTTATTAAAATTGAAAATTCAATTTTAAAATCATCAACAGCGGATGAATTAGATTATATAACTGTCAGAAATCAATATAATAAAAATGTAAAGCCATCATATCAACAGTCATCATCCAACAATAAACTACAGCCCCAAACAACAAAAAATTTCAAAAATGAAGAGGAGCTTGAAGAAAAAAATGAAAATTTCCCGTTAAAACAAAATTTAAAAAATAAAAATTTTCCATTAAAACCGGATAAAAGTAATGAACTTAAGCAAAATTATTTACAACATGAATTAAATGTCGAAAATCAAAATGATAACAGTATTTCTGTAAATTCTAAAATCAAAAACAAAAATAATATAAAATCAAAATATCCTTATCCAACGACTAGTGATAATAAAAATATTTTTCAATCATATAATTCTGTTGTTGATGACGGAAAACGCGACGGAAATTATAATTTTCTTGGTGAAAATTCATTTAAAAAGAAAAATCATCAAATAAAAATGAGAAATAGCTTAAGTTCTTTTAGTAGCATCAGTACTATTAGCACTGACAGTGATGATGATAATAATAACGATGGCAATATAAATGATAATTTCAATCACCAACCATCATATAATAAAATTTCATCATCTAAATCAAAAAAGCGATCGTACAGTGCAAGTGTTTCAGATAATATTGATGTAATATCAAAAGTTCATGTAAAATCTTTATCAACGTCATCATCAATTTCATCAACATCATCTCTTGAATCTCGCCGTAGTAATGGCAGTTATAAAAAGAAATTTAATAATAAAATTTTAACTAACAGAGATTTAAATTGCAGAAGAAAATCAGTTAGTGAATATATTGAATTTTGGTCCAATTTGAAGTAATTAATTTGATTTCAGAAAAAAAAAAGAAAACAAAGAAAAACAGAAAACAAATTGCTTTTATTGACTTTTCAATATTTATATTCAGTTCGTATGGGCGCATACATACTCGTATTAGGTCTATGCGCTCATGCTATTCATATATAAGATAAATTAAATATATGAATATAATAATAAATGCATACATAAGTATGCATAAGTAAGGCAAGGGTACAACAATATTAACTTGCTTACACATATACAAATAATTTATTCAAAAAAGGTTAAATTGTATAGGGCATTTGATGAAAATTAATAGTTGGAGTTCACGTATTAAAATATTTTCCATATAGACTTTTATTCGTTTTCATGCGGTATGAAAAAAGTGAAGCAGATTATTTGGTAAAAAAATGAAATTGATTTGTTGCCGTTCTGCCTGCACGACATATAAAGTGTATATCATTTTATTAAAAAGATTACGTTTTCGACATATACACACACAGAGTCTGCAACTCACTTTTTTAAAAATGGAGAAAATTAGGAATTTTATTTTCAAAGAACGCCGATGTTCATTGCTAGTGAGTGCCTTTAGTTTTATTTTAAGGAATTGAGTTCTAAATTAATTTAGATTTTTCGTAGTTTTATGAGGCATATCACTGAAAATTGATATCGCTTGAAAAACCGAAAACTTGTTAAATTTTTTCAAATGATCTGTTTAAAAATTAATATATGAAACGTCATGTACTTATCATGGCACATTCGAATTTGATTTGTCCAAAAAATTAAATTGTCAGCATAACATTCAACTGTGCTACTATAAGAATACCCTATTAAGTTGTCTTGTATTTCAGATTTTTATCAAGCTTCTTGGCTTTTAATGCAACCGAAATGTATTGTACGAGTTCATAAATTCAATTTTTATCAAATGTCTCATAGATTTAATAAAATTATTTAACCAATTCTAATAAAATTATGGATTATAAACTATATTTTTAAGGTATAACTGTTTACCCTATTTTATATGGGTATATACATGTAACAAGTAATTTAAAATACTATTTTTTAAGTGCAAATATATATACACTTATTTATGTTTATGTGCCATTATTTTCATAGATAATAGTATATAGATAAATATTTTACGTTATAGTATATAATATGTTAGTTTACATACGATATTAAATAAATATAATACAATTTAAATATTAAAAATTGTATAAATAAATATTATATATGTGAAGCTTACAATTATTGTTTATAATATAAAAAAAATATTAATTAACACTTAAACTAATTTTAAAATTACATTACATATATATATATAATATATAAATATATATATATATATATATATATATATATGTAAGTATATTATAATAATATTTACAAACTATAAATTGAATTTTAATTATTTATTTAAAAAAAAAATAATATTGAAAAAAAAATATTCTAAAGAATTTAATTATTACTTGCAATATCGTTATTACCCAAATATGAACGTAAAGTTATTAAAATTAATATAAAAACAAATTTACACCAATTAGAAAAATAATTGGTTTTTGAATATTCATTTTTGAAAATATATTAAATAAAAGAAAAATAAATAATGAACTGTCCAAATAATTGATATATATATATGTATATATAGACATATAGGCTGAAATAATTTTATAAAGTGTAGGGAAATCTTAGCAATTTTCATGTCAAATTTATATACGTAAATATTACCCTTTATAATTAAGATCAAAATGAATAAAATTCAAAAATAATATTTTTAAAGTGTATATATATATGTATAAATTGTATAGATAATTAAATAATTAAATATTAACATCATTAAAGAAAAAATTTATAATTAAGAGCAAAAAAAAAAATTAAGAGAAAAAAATTGATGTGAAGTAATTTGTACCTTTATAATTTAAACAATTTCAAAATAAATATTTAATAATCGTTTCCCAGGCAAATTAAGAACTATAAAATACTTAAGATGAGTATTAATCAAAATAATTCAAAAGTTGTAGCATTGAAAAAACATTAAACATTTATGTGTATGTACTTAAAATTTTTTTTTGAAAGAAATATAAATAAAACCATACACAATAATAATTAGCTATTAATAATTTTGTTGAAATAAAATAAAATAAAATTTATAAATAAATAGTTAAAAATAAACTGAATGAACTCAAATAATGTATAAAGTTTTAATTAAATAAGGAACGGGAAAATTGATGAAATTAATAAGGGCTAGTTGATAAAGCATTTTCATACGAGTATTTCTATTAATTTTTGATATGCTTCTTCTTTAAAAAAAAACATTGGAGACATTTTACAAATTTAGTATAAAAATTATTTAAAAATATTATTTCATTAGGAATAAAAAAGCATAACAATTAAGTAAATACTATAATATTTGATCTACAATAACAGTTAATTTATATTAAATAAAGTGGGGTGAAATCAATGATTTGTTAAGAAACCTTTTCCCTTAGAAAAGTGAATAATACTATTTTCAAAAGCAATCTGCTATATTGTATTTACTAAATTAAATTACTGTCATTGATATACCAAATTATATATAAATCTATTGCATATATTTAGGATAAGTAAAAGAAAAATTACAAGAAGAAAGCGTTCTTAATTTATAGAAATTTGGAATAGATTGCAGCTTCAGAAATATAGGGTCGACACCTTATTATAAATTTTTAAAATTAAATTCAAATTTTAAAAATTTCGGAGGATGATAACATAACTTGGAAAAAAATTTCTTAGGGGATCAACTTAGAAAACAATTTTCTTCTAGAAAAATAAACTATTAGTATCTAAAATATGTCAAAATTTCAGACTTCTGCAGCTTATCTATTATCCAAAATTTGAGCAAAAAAAATGGATATTAGATAATGGTTAAAATTAATTTTGTTTTTTTAAAGACCAACCAAATTATGGCACGGTAGAAAAAGCTCACCACTAAATTTCTGTGTTTGCAGAATTTTAAAAAATGTTTGTAGTTTCATCACAATAAATAGTCAAAAAATGGCAGGGTGTTTGAGCAGCTAAAACTTTTATAGAAGGGTAGAGAGGTAAAAATTCTACGTATATAAGTTTCTAGTAAAACTAAATTCATATATAAAATTTCAGCTTTCTATGTTTGAAAATAAGTATAGCTATATTTAATGTTGATAATATTTTAGTATTAAGTTTTAGTATTATAAAATTTGATATACATATTATGTACACATGGGGACTAATTAATTGGTACTTTGACACATACAATATCGTTTAAGGCATGAATAACGGATTAAATTTTGTTTCAAATCTCAAAATTTACATAAACACTAGGGTTTTCATGAATAAAAATTCTTCTTTACTGTGGTTTATAACTGTAGCAACAGTTTGGGAGGAAAATATCATTAAAAGGGTTTATTATGGAAGTATTTGCAAAAAAGTAGTGTCATAAGACTAAAATCATTCTGAACTTTGAAAGATTCAAAATATTTGCGAAATTATTGAGTACTTATATTTAGTAACAATAAGTGAACCATATAGCGATTGCGTTATGTAATTTAGTGATAATAATGCTAAGTAAGTATTATTATCTAAAACAATTTTGACCTTAAAAATGACAAGAATTTCGAATTGAGGAAAAATATCTTTTGATACTAGTATTACGTAATCAAAAATAAACTTCAAACGCAGATAAAGTTGAAATTTTCTTGATTTACAACGGAGAATCATAAAAAAAAAATGTCAATTAATTAAAACATAAAATAGTAAGTTAGTAGATACTAATAAATAATATATTCTTATACATACATAGTCTATTTGATTCAAATTTATTAATTTATTGAAATTGGAATATTTTTGTACAACTAAATAAAATTGAGATCGAAATCCGAAGCATTACTTTCGAATTTATTCGAATTTAATTTTGATATTCATTCGCTGAATTTCTAGAACAATCACAGAATAAAATATTTTTTTTTTTCAAATATTTCATTGAATATTTTTCAATATAAAGTTGAATGAACTTAATTTTATTCTTTTTATTTTGAAGAACAATAAGAGAAATCTATTAGCACATATTTTCCACACATTTAGTTGTACATCCATATGTATGTGTATATATTATTTACACAGGTATTAATAATAAGTTTTAATTGAAAAAAAAATATATAATTTTAAAAAATCAATATTAATAATACTTAAGTACTAGGATTAAATATACTAAAGAATAATATGAGCATTCATCCATTCATTCAAGATAAATATCACTTCATTCAAAATGCACTTATATTTTATCCTTATGTATTATACTCTTTGATAGAAAATATGTAACAACATCAATCTAATTTTTTAAAACTTTAACACTAAACATTTTTACTAAAGTTGAATTCTGTAAGTATTAATCATTAATTCTTAAGAAAATTTAACAATGAATTTCTAGTAAAATTATTTTAATATTTAAAATGGTATACAATTTTATGGCATTTCTAAATAAATTTTCTCTACATTCTTCAATTCTTAAATTGAAATCAACTTTAAAAAATTACTATTTTTCTATAATGTTCAACTAGTTATTATTATTCAGGCAAGTATGTATGCACAATTATGCAAAACAAATAGTTTTTGTAAAATAATAATTTTCATGCATGCATCTGGATTTGTTTACTATAAGGTACTTGCATATTTGCATTGTAATGATGCAAATCTATTTATAATACATGAATATATATTTTAATATTTTTGTGTTATTATCATAAATTACTCGGTTATCCTTGTTCTATATAAATATTACATTACAGAATATCTTGATTTAATGGAATATTATAGGTATTATATGTCTAATAAAAATGCAATATAATCACGGATAATCATAAAATGGATTTGATGTTTTTATAAAATTCAAATTTGTTTTCACAATTAAATGTTTCAATAACAAATATAGTTTCTTATAATATTATGTATATTTTGAAGATATAAAATAATATTAAGAAAATTTATATTGTTATTATATGATTTGTAGAAAAATATTTTGTTATTGTGATTTTTAAAAAATGATTTAAAATAAAATGCTCCCTGAGTTAAAATGACTTTAAAATTAAATTCAGAGTTTTAAGTTCGAAGTG